GCCCCAAGCCCACTGTGGGTGTATAAATTGGGGAGGAGGGGGAACATGCCCCCCCAGTACATTTCCAATCCCCCCCCTCCCTCCCCCCCACCCTGACTTACTTGTGGGGCGCTGTGGGATCTGCTCTCCACCACCGCCTGGCTGCCACGTGCATGTGCACACATGCCTGCTGCTCCAACCAGTGGGCAAGCTCCCCGCTGCCCCAACCAGCCCCTTGGCAGACTGGACCAGCCAACCTGCAAAGGAAAACCCGCAGTTTCCCAGGTTTTTCTCCTTTCAAAAGGAGAAATCTGAGGTTCTTTCCTCTGAAAGAGAAAATCTACGTTTTTCTCCATTATAGGAGAAAATACACTTTTTTCTCCGCAGCAAATGGAAAACCTAGAACCCTGGTGTTAAGACATACATAAAACACGTTTTATTATAGTTTTTAGCACTCCTTTGGCTGTTTGTTTACACAGTTAAGTAATTCAGAGTTGTCTCAATCCTTAGTGTGAATTAAATGGGCTTGACCGAGCTTTTACATCCCTAAATAACCAACAGAAAAGTCAACTAACACCTTCTGTTACATAGCAAAGTACAAAACTTTTCAAATTGGAAAAAAAGTGAAAGCTTTAAGCCTTGTTTTCACATCTGAGTTTTACTAGAACTGTATTTAAATAAGGTAAAGGTTAACAATTCTTGACTAGCTCAGACCAGCTATATTAAGAAAGTTAAACTATAAAGAATCAGAATACCCTCAGAAAACATTAAGATTTTTAAGAAAAAGTGCATTTTTTTTTTTAGTTAAGAACTTTTTATTAAAGTAATTCACTAGGACTATACTTTATACCTAATGGCTGTATATTACAACTTTAGTTCAATTATTAAAACTGAGACAGCAAGTATTAAAATTTAACAATATTACTTGAAATTGTATTCTATTTGTAAGAAACTACTGTTCTGTGTTTCTGCAAATAAAATGTATATCGTTAAGCTATATTGTAAATTTTCAAAAATGGTTTAGCTTTGTTATATATGAAAAACAATTAAGCACAGTATCAACTGATTTGGGTTATGAAAAAAAGTTATCTAAATCCTAACTTCTAGCCTGGTCACTCGTAAACAGACTTATACCCATAAAAGTAGACAAAAAGATAAAATACACCTACTGTTCTACAAAGTTCACAGCAAATCTAATTTTAAACAGAGGACTGTGATAAAACTAGTTTCCTTTTTCTTACATCCGGACATCTGGATATTTTCTATTGTTTTCAAAAGCTGCCAGTATCCTGAGTTAAACACACAAAATTAGTTGTAACTTACCCTGTGAAGAGTCACTGTATGTTGTTCCCATATTGCCGTTTCTTCCATTGTTGTGCTCTGATTGAAAAGAAAGGGAAAAAATAGATTATACCTTGAATATATGGAAGGTTTTTTTTTTTTTATAACCATCTCCACTAGAAATTTTCATTCGTAATTTGCTATTCGCTATGCATATTAAAAGGTAAAAAAATATATACATAATAGGAAATGGCTCCTTGAAAGTGTTTTTAAGTGGAAAAGTTTTAAAAGATTTCTCATCCATCATCCTATAATAGCTGCTATACAGGTGCTAATTAGTCCTATGGTCCATCTATAGAGACCATGGTTTTGGTTTCCCCAGCACAGAGGTTTGCTTTTTCTGACAAATGAAACAGATATAGGAAAATGTTGTATTAAGTGAATCCTTGCTTCCCCACAAATACTAAAATTATATTGTCAGACAATCAAAGATACAAGGCTGCTCACATGGCCGACAGCCCCCATATGGTCTTATTTTAAATCACAGAAAAAAAACCTAAGCACACTACCTCATTTTCTTAGACTATTTAATAACTTGCATCAAAAACACATAACAGTTTTTACTTTTTATGAGATGCTGAGTTCCCTTCAGCAGGGCTAACATCCTAAGAGGGATTTTAAGATTTTTTTTTTTTTTTAATTTCTTGAGTCTGTTCTGTCATGGACCTGTTGTAAACTATACCCAATTTCTTTTAAATTGCCAAGTTCTATACAGGTAATGATGTATTTCAGAAAAACAACTTTGGAACTCTGCCAAAAGGATGAAATGTCACTATAGTCAACCCTTGAATACTAAATCAAGCTTAAAGGAAAGCATACAATTATTTCTCAGTTGTTTTTAAGCAGTATAGTAAGAAAATGGAAACTAGACCAGCATCTTTTAGATGCTGGTCCAATTTCTAATTTAAATTTTCCTATGATTAATCAAATTAGTTCATCCACTAATTTGCAATAATCACATAATTTATATGCCTTTCATCTTTTACTTGTTCTACTTATACACGCAAGAATCACCACTATTTGCAAATGCCTCACTATGGTTTACAGTACATGAGCTACTGTACTATGTATACAGGTCACGTTTAACTGACTCTGCACTTCAATGCAGGCTCTTCTTACATGAACAGTGGTACTGCAGAGCTAAATAATTTTTTATGTAAGGGAACAAGATTAGAGTGTAAATGTTTTCATACTGTTACAAGACCTACACATTTTTGCTTTTTCTGGAGGGGAGGAAAAACTGAAAAACTACTCAAAGTACCCAACAAGTAAGTATTTGGAAGCAAATGGAGAGTCCAGAAGGGTTTGGCAGAAAGTGAAAGCTAGAAGCTCCATAGTAGTCCCCTGTTGCTGGATTTATTCCTTCCAAAAGGAAGCATACTCTAGTATTCTGTCCTGCACCTTTTACAAGCAAATACCAGTCCACTCTAATACCACTTCACTTAGAACAGGTCTAGAAACAGAGATAAAATCTGCAAGTAATTTAACAGAAATGCACTTAACACTACAGTTACATGTAGTGTCAAATACTGAATGCTACAATATAATTCAATAGCTAATGATGCAAAACTAAAAAACACTGCAACTAAACTACTAGTATATATATTTTTATAAGAAGTAGTCGATTAATAATTCCAAAATCTTACACTATTATTTAGTATCACAGGTATGTAACAATTTAAAAAGGCAAGTAAAATGCAATGGTTCCAAGGAGCTACTTCATATTTCGCATCAGCAAGTTATGATTTGTAGCAATGTTCTCTCTGTCCCCTAAATGTACTGTTTTTTTCTAAACGGAATACATTAAATTTACTCAATTGCCGCTTCCCCTCCATTCAATATGCTATTGTTTTGTATCAGAAGAGGCATTAACTCTCAACAGCAACATAGGTAAATCTGACTTATTATGCATTTGGTAGTGTAACTATGTTCTTGATAGATGTAGAACTTTTGAACTTGTGAACATGAAACTGGCAGTAACAAGATTTTCTTTTTATACTGGCAGGAAGTCACTTACAAAGAATAATTAATTCTATTATTGGCTGAACAGTTTCAAATGTTGTTGTTTCTCTGCCTTCTTCTGTGCCTCCATTTCTGGATGCTCACATTCTGCTTGGCACTTAGTCTTAAATATTCTTGAAGAACTGCCTATGTAAGTAAACTATATTTCCTTTACCTAGCTCTCTCTAAAACCTAATTGATTTATATTGTGGATACCAATTAGTTTCCCTTAAAAAGTCCAGTTATTGCTTAATACCCATTTGTCAAATAGCATAAGATAAAGAAGTTACTTAAATGCTTTCTCAAATTGTTCAAAGTTCAAATAAAAAAAAAAAAGGTGGAATAACTATAGCAAACAGACAGAACACAGCTCAAGAAAAAATACAACTTTTTATAGTGCTTGTGTGTTGGTTTGAAATACTTCATTAATTTATCAAATGTGGCACCTTGATCTTTACTTTAACATAGTATCTCATTACATAATTGGAAAGAAAGTTACAATAATTTAAGTCATGTTTCAGTTTTCAATGTTGCAGGCATAAAGATAAATAAAGTAATAAACTAAACATTTTCTAACTATAAATTTCTATGCATTTTGATGAACTAGTACAAATGGTAAGAACAACTATAAAAGTATGGTCAGGAAATAAAATGGCAGTCCCATAAATTTACTGAATAACAAACAGTCACCCTAGGAAACATGAAATAGGAGACCCAGAAAATAATCCCAGACACTATGAAAGGGGTGGGGAAAATACCATTCTATCTGGCCTGCGGGGTCCCTAAAATTTTTTTGAAAATTAAAATTTAACTGTTGCTGGTTCCTGTCAAAAATGACAGGAACCAGGGGCAGTAGGACCCAGGGGAATCCTCGGCAGCCTCCTGCAACAGCAGGGCCCACCTGGCCCCGCTCCTCCAGGTGGAAGCCCCAGCAAGGGCTTCTGGCCTAGGACCACATGGCTGCCCAGGTGGGAGAGGGGTCAGGCGGGGAGCAGGGAAGGAGCTGGTGTGGAGTGCAGGGAAAAGTGGCCCCTCTCCTGCCCTCTGGCTGGCGCTCTCTGCTGCAGCCGCTCGTGGAGCTCATGCTGTGGTAGGCTGCAGCCTGGCTGCCACCGCTGCCTCTGGGCTGCCCAGCATGCAAGCTCCGGGCAAGCAGCAGCAGCAAAGACTGGCACAGCAAGCAGGGGGGCCGCAGCTACTGCTGCCATGGCACAACCCTGACAGGCAAGCCCAGAGCTGGCACAGGGCCCACGTGTTGAGCTCTGGAAAAGCAGCCCCTCACCTGCCCCATGGCCGGCACCCTGCGCTGCAGCCACTTCACAACCCACATGGGGCTGTGCCTGCTCAGGACAGCCCCGCGTGGGCTGTGAGCACCGGCCACAGGGTGGGTGAGGGGTCACTTCCGCACACTCCGCACCAGTTCCTTCCCTGCTGACAAGCAGGGGGTCGGGGCTGTGCGCTGCCCCCCCCACCCCCACCTGTACCCCGAGGCTGGGGGAACACTGAAGGATGGGGGAGTGAGCAGGCACAGGAGTGAGCTGCCCCCCCACCTGTACCGTGAGGCTGGGGGAACACTGGAGGCTGGGGGAGTGAGCGGGCGTGGAAGTACAGGGCCCTCACTGCTGGTGCAGCCCAGCCCGGCTCAACAGACCCCTGTCTGGGACCCACCAGTGCTGGCCATGGGACATTGGTCCCAAGATGGTGACTGGGGGCAGGGTACCTGCCCAGGGGCAGGGCTACCCATGCAGCCTTTGACAGCTTGCCAAAACTGGGTAAGCGGCCCTCCGCCCAAAATAACTGCCCACCCCTGCACTGTCAACTGATTTTCTGTTCCTTTACTGGGCTAAGTGGGCCAACTGTAATATTTGTCAAGACTGAAGTGCTCTTTTTGTGCCAAATGAACTGATTACATTTCAGAATCACTACTTCCCATTAAATTACATCACCTTTGACAAATTAAAGAGCATATTCCATCAATAATTTAAAGACAATGGTAAATTTTAAGATTAAACATTAAGAATATCCTCAATATTCACTTTGTTTAATCTTTCAATGAAGAATCTTGATAACAATTATTGTCTTTTCCAACAAACATGCAAATGGTCGACAAATGTTATATTTATTAACTAAATATGTCGAATTAATTTCAGAATAATATGTGGAATTGTATGTTTCTTTTTCTTCACAATATTCAAGTGCGCTTTTCCCCCTCACCCTAAAGGCGAAGCAGGAACAAAGCCAGAGTCTGATAAAAAAGCATTATTTAATATATATTTTGTATTGACTATTGTATATGACAGCCAGATATATCCCAAGGTCTCTCTGAAAGATTACGGCTTTGTAAGAAACTTAATGCATCTTGCAAGTTAAGACTAAACTGTCTAGTAACAGTGCTCAGTAGTTTAATAGCAGTTTACTTTGGTGGAGTGCTTGAGTACTCGTAATCTTGCTGCATTTTTATTGAGCAAAAATGTTAGTAATTTCCTTCCCCCAATATATTCTGGGAGTTTTAAAACTCCATGACTACTACTTCTGACAAGGTATGCTAATTTCAGTGCATAGTAAATTATAATTTCTATTCTAATTTCTACTGTAATGCAGGCCACCCTTTTTGCTTAACAGTAACCCTTGTTACTGCATTGATAAAAGAGAATTTGTGAAGCTAGATCAGCATTTATCAAAAAAATGTGAAAGAACATTATAGGCCTTTTGGAATCAGGTCATGGTTGCTTACATTTCTCTATTTTACTGTTTTTCTTCACAATCATTTTAATTCACAATTAACTATAATAATGTGTACCAGTAAGCTACTAGAACATTACACCATTAAAAGGGTTCTATAATTGAAAGCAGGCAATTCTCTGGAAGGAGAATAAAACTACACAGAATTTAGAAGCAAACTCTGGGGCACAACAGTAGCATATCAATTACCAGGACTTGAAACATTTACCTGGTATCTAAAAACAAACAAACAAACAAAAAAAACCCAACAACAACTCCCCCCACACCCCAACAGCTAGCCTGAAACTCATCCATTC